CTACTACTACTACTACTACTACTACTACTAGTACTACTACTACTACTACTACTACTACTACTACTACTAGTACTACTACTACGAGGACTACTACTACTACTACTACTACTACTACTACTACTACTACTACTACTATAACTACTACTACTACTACTACTACTACTACTACTACTACTACTACTACTACTACTACTACTACTACTACTACTACTACTACTACTACTACTACTACTACTACTGAGTCTCGTTCACATCAAGGCTTGGTCGAGCGCCACGACTTGCTCGACTGTCACTGTTTCTGGCTTGGGCACGGCTACCTTATTTCAGGGTCTTTTCGGCCGTGCCCAAGGCGCCTGCCTTGTACGCCTGCTGTTGCAGGCGCGCCTGACGCCTCGAGCACTCGCTCCCGCGGCATGTCTCAGAAAAGGAGTGAGGAGTGAGGAGTGAGGAGTGAGGACGACGAGGACTTCGTATCTTTCTCCTGCGGTCTGGCCCCCGTGCGCTAGGCATGAGTGGGGGGCGGGCGGGGACCGGATCGCGGCGGCAAAGGGCGGCGGGCTCGACACGTGGGCGCCCCGCCCCCCGCCACTCGTGCTCCTGGCACTCGTCCCCTCCCCCTCCTCCTCCTCCTCCTCCTCCTCCTCCTCCTCCCTCCTCCTCCTCGCTCCCTCCTCCTCCCCCTCCTCCTCCCACTCCTCCCCTCCTCCTCCTCCTCCTCCTCCTCCTCCTCCTCCTCCCCCCCTCCTCCTCCTCCTACTCCTCCTCCTCCTCCTCCTCCTCCTCCTCCTCCTCCTCCTCCTCCTCCTCCTCCTCCTCCTCCTCCTCCTCCTCCTCCTCCTCCTCCTCCTCCTCCTCCTCCTCCTCCCCCTCCTCTCCTCCCCTCCTCCTCCTCCTCTCCTCCTCCCCCTCCTCCTCCCCCTCCCCTCCTCCTCCTCCTCCTCCTCCGCCTCCTCCCCTCCTCCTCCTCCCTCCTCCTCCTCCTCCTCCTCCCCCCCCTCCTCCTCCTCCCTCCTCCTCCTCCTCCTCCTCCCCCCTGCTCCCCCTCCCCTCCCTCCTCCTCCCCCCGCTCCCCCTCCCCTCCCCCTCCCCCGTCCCCTCCATCTCCCGATCCTTCCATTCCCACCCGCTTCCTTCGCATACAGTCAGCCTGCATAGTGGATACGGGCAACCTTCCCAAGGGTGCCCTTGCATCCTTGCCCCTTCGGCCCATCCTTTGCGACTTTCGTGAGCCAGCCTCGTTCGAAAAGCGTTAGCTTGGGCCTCCAAGGCCCTTGCATCCTTAGCGCGCATCCTTATGATACGGGTTGACTGTACCTCTTCGCGCCACGAAGAAATCAGGACGGACGTTTCTGTTGCCTACTTTTTTTGCTGGCGGGGGGGGTGTCTTTGGACTCGACCTCGCGGGGCCCGAGGACCGTCAGAAGACGATTCAGGATGAAACTTCGGGGGCCCCAGTCCCGGGGAAGGGGTCGAGACTTCGGGGGTACGCGTTGCGAGAAAAAATGCGACGTCGGAGATAATGGTTGCTTGCTTTCCTGCTTGTGCTCGTTGCTTCCCGCCTTCGCTGCCTCCCTCCCTGCTACTCCTCCTCCCCTGCTCGTTGTCCTGCTCGCTTCCCTGCCTGCTTGTCTGCTGTTTTTTCCTCCTCGCTTCATGGGGGAGGAGGAGGAGGAGGAGGAGGAGGAGGAGGAGGAGGAGGAGGAGGAGGAGGAGGAGGAGGAGGAGGAGGAGGGTCGAGGAGGAGGAGGAGGACGAGGACGAGGACGAGGAGGAGGAGGAGGAGGAGGAGGCTCCCGTGAAGGTCTGCCCGCCCGACCTGTCTGTCATGTGGGCCCCACCTCGTCCTGCCCCGAAGGAGGAGGAGGAGGCGGAGGAGGAGGGTCGAGGAGGACGAGGACGAGGACGAGCCGACCCGAACGCCCGGCCCGAGTAAAGTCCTGACCGCGGAGAGCCTTTCAAAGCTGCCCCCCCTCCCTCCCCCCCCGCAGCTCTCGGCCAGCCATGCTTGCCCTCCCCCTCCCTGTCCCATGCCCCTCTCGTCCCCCTCCCTTCCTGTCCCTCCTCCTCGGGAGGGCGGAGAGGGGAGGGGAATTATCAGCCCACTACTGTTGTGTCCCAATCCGTCAATAAGCCCGCGCGAAAATTATTTTGCTCCCATTCTAAAACAAAGGCCTTTGTTAAAGACCCTTCGCGGTTACTGTGACTGGACTTCCAGTCGGGTCGGGGGGGCTCCCACTTGGCCCGCCCGCCTACTTCTTCCAGCGGGCTCTCTCTTGAGGCCCCGGCGATGGTCCAGGGGAACAGGCAATGACACAAACATACAAACTCCTAGGTCCGCGCGGACTCTTTGGATCGGCGCTGGGGCCCCCTTGGCGGCGCCTCTGGCGCGCTCCGCGCGCCAGGGAGGGGTGTCCACTTTCCAGATAGGGTCAGCGTAAATCGGGTCGGAGGATCGCGCCGCATCGCCGATGCATCGGCGATGCGGCTCGATGTGTAGCTCGATTTTCTCCACGCCGACGTCGCCGATGCATGGCCGACGTCGCCGAATGCATCACCGATGCATCGTTGGTGCATCGTCGATGCGGCGCGATCCTCCGTCTCCATCTGCTCGCACCCCATCTGAGCGACGAAGCACAGCGGGTTCGACTTCACCGACATTGGCGGGTAAGCTGCCCGCGCAGGGTCGCGCGCAAGCGCCCTCGTTGCCAGCGCAGCGCGCCTCGCGGGCGGCCTGCGTAAGCTGCGGCGTCTGGTCGTTAACTATGCCATCTCGCGTAAGACCCGTCTTCTTTGTGTCGCCCATCTGACCCGGTCGCTCCGGTGCGCGGCTCTCGAGGGGCGCGGGGGGGGGGCCAGACCGGAGCAGAGCACGCAGGCCGCCAGTTCCGCGCGGCACGAGGCGGTCGGCCGGCCGTGCGCCAGTGGTGGCTCTCTCGTGTGGCCGACCGCTCTGGGGAGGCACGGTGGGCGCTATAGGCTCCTGGCCATTGGGCTCCGTCTCTGGGGCCCATCTCACAGCGCCCCGCCCTGCCCCCTCCTCGGAGGGGCGCCAACAATACACCACCACCAGCCCTGGCCAGGTCCAGCCTGGGCCGGAGGAGGAGGAGGAGGAGGAGGAGGAGGAGGAGGAGGAGGATTAGATTAGATTAGATTAGAATCACCGTTGGCGCCATCTCTATCTGTCTCTGCCGTGCACTTGGGAACGGTCATGCTATTAACAATTCCTTCGACAGCGTATGATATACACGTCTAGGGTTCTGGTGCGGTGAGCCTGCTCTAGCTGGACGCCTCGAAAGCTGGGCCTCGAGGTGACGGGATGTTGCCCTGCGGGACCGTCTCGGTCCCAGGGCACATCCCTACCGTCATCGACGAATGAGATGACTGTGGGGGACATTCATTATCCCGCGGAACATTATCCCGAGACAGCCCTAAGGAGCACACGACGGACGAAAGGCAGCCCCAAAAACCAAGGAAGATCTCCCTCATTGGGAGGATCCCCGTTGGCTGATAGGCTCCCTCCCGCACAACGACCTAGACAGCTAGCCCTCCCGCACACGACCTATTCAGACTACTTATGTGCACTATACTACGCCAAGGCTGGAGAAGACGTGCGCTCACTTGGTAGCATACTATTGTAAGTAGCTGTGCCAGGCATTACTTGACGTGGGGCTAACAAATCAGTTACTATACGCATGCGGGAGGGGGCGCCTGCAAGTACACGTTCTGGAAGAGAAGCCTCCGAACTCGGAGGACGTGACCTATAGACAGCTCGGTTCACCTGAGCAGTCAGGAGAGGAAGAGAAGGGGTATCACCTCGCTCCCGACAAGTATTCTGATCTTCATTTTCTGCATGTTGCCTCTCCACCACTGGTATGACGTGTGAGGCACCGTCCCAGAAAGTTATTTCACTGCACGCCATAGGGACTTCTAGCCCTCCATGCCCTCGAGCCACTCCTGCAGCTCGCGCTCGAGGAATGTCGCTGGAGCTCTGCCCACTTTCTTGACTGCTCCCTCCGTGCTGGCGAAGGCCTTGTTCATCAAGATGCGAAACTGTGGGTCGCGAAAGGCAACGTAATCTTCTTCATGCCGCGCTGGTATACCTTCTCCACAGGAGGAGGAGGAGGAGGAGGAGGAGGAGGAGGAGGAGGAGGAGGCGGAGGAGGAGGAGGAGGAGGAGGAGGAGGGGGAGGGGGAGGGGGAGGGGGGACTGGTGGGTCTGTGCACCAGTCCAGGGCCCGGCATGGGCCTGGCCAGGGCTGGTGGTGGTGTGTTGTTTGGAGCTCTCCTTTCCTCCCCCCCCCCCCGGGACTTCTCCGTGCCCCTCCGTATGCCGTGCTTCACATTTCTTCTGTGCGGCCTCTCGTCTTACATATCAAGTAGGGGCATTCCAGGCAGGCCCGATGTCGTCACCTAGTTACTAGTTACTGGCTTCCCCCTGATCCTGTCGAATAGCATCATGTGGTGCACATGCGCTGATCTAAGAAGTGCTTATATCATAGCCCCTTGCGAACTTTACCATACGGGCCACCCGCGCCGCCGCGCGCATGTCAGCAGCCGTTTCAAAGCGTCCGTTGTAGTGATTTCAAGGCCGGTCTGATTTGTTCTGGAAGTGCGGCCACGTGCTTCTCACATGCCTCACCCTGCTCCCACCTTTTGGACCCCTCTCTGACCTTCCGCTGCCCCCCTGCTCACCTTCCCTTCTCCAGAAGGATCGCCTCTCTTGCTCCTGCCCTCCCATACTCCTCTCCCTTCGCCCTCTCCTGCTCCGACCCCTGCTCCCTCCACCTGCTCCATCTCCCTGGTCCCTCTTCCTGCCCCCTCTGCTGCCCCTGCTCCTCCTCCTGCCCAGACCTCCGACGTCGTGATCCTCTCGCAGCGTGGACCCCCAGAGGAGTGGACATCTTCCTTGGGACCCCGCGCCCGGCGAGGGCCCCCCGGAGGCCGAACGTGGGCAGAAGCGTCCAGTCGTGTCTCGCACAGCGAAGGGAGGCCTGGGTGCACTCTCCGCTTTCTCTTGTCTGCTCCCCACCCCGTTTAGGTTTAGGGTTTAGGGTTTAGGGTTTAGGGTTTAGGGTTTAGGGCTTCGTTTAAACCCTAATGCACTTGTTTTTCTTGTCCGCTTTTTCTTGTCTGGTGCACTGTCCGCTTTTTCTTGTCTTCTTTTTCTTGTCCGCCCCGAAGCGCCTGAGGTGATCTACATATTCACAGTCGGTGGGCCCATGGCGCCTCGTGCCACGTACCTTATCCTGGCGGCCCGCGCCGTAGGTTTTCTTCCGGAAGGGACCGGAAAAGGGAGGGGGGATGAGGGGCAAGAGGAAGAGGAGGGGGAGCAAGAGGACGGGGAGGAGTTGGAGGAGGAGGAAGACGAGGAGGAGGAGGAGGGGCAGATCGAGAAGAAGGAGGATGAGCATTACCAACTGGAGAGGGATCAGATAGCCGGGCTGCACGCAGAAATGTGGCTTGAACCACCATCCCGCCTGATTGGCTGGGCGGAAGCTGGCGGAAGCCAATATCGGTCCTCCGAGAGATATGTTTGGGGGATTCAGGGTTTTTGGAACGAGTCACATGGCGTCTCCTCGGGGAGAGGTCAGACTGGATTTCGCCGGAACCTGGGTTTCCCGATTTCTTTTTGACGGGCCCGCCCTGAATGCTGACGGTCCAGTTTTCGTGGGATGCTTGAAGCAGGAGCTCGTGTCAAATTTCAAAATGGGTCTCGTCATTTTCCTGACGGACCTGTCAGGCCTACCCGAGTCCTCCGAACCCGAGTCTTATGTCTTCCCGAGTCCTCCTAAACACCAGCTTGACATTATTTTGTTATGCATGTTCGGTGCCATCTCAATCTAAACCCATTGATTTGCTACGTCCTCCACATCAAGATATGCTTACCGCGGACGCAGAAAACCTGTCATGCTGGGCCCGATGCTCAGCGAAAACCATCCGGACGCTTGAAAGCCCCGGGGATGCTTAGCGCAAACGTCCCTGGTCGGAATGGATGCTCTAGGCTGGGCGACAGCTGGACACGCACAAACAAAACAACACTACACAACACAACACAAGATCACACAGCACAGCACAGCACAGCACAGCACAACACAGCACAGCATAACACAACACACAACACACAACACACAACACACAACACACACTCACACAACGCACACAACACACAACACACAAAACACAACACACAGCACACAACACACACAACACACATACATACATACATACACTCATACACATCAACACACCCACACACCCATACACCCACACACAAACACACACACATGCACGCACGCACGCACGCACACACGCACGCCCCCCCCCCCCCCCGCCCCACATCACACACACACACAACACACACACACAACACACACACACACCACACACACAACACACACACACACCACACACACACCACACACACCACACACACACACACACACACGTACGCGCGCACACGCACACGTACACGCACACGGAACCGCATACGCACACGCACACACGCACACACGCACACACAACTACACACGCACAGCCGCACACACACAGACACGCACACGCACTGACACACTGACACACATACACACCCGCACGCACACGCACACACATGCACACACGCACACACACACACACACGGCCGCATGTCTTTCCAGCGCTCGGCCTTCGTGTGGCTGGGCACGCTGCCCCTCCGCATGTGCATCTAAGGCGTGGCCTCCGCGTGGTCGGCACGTGAACCCGCGTGCGTGCGTGCGTGCGTGTGCGTGCGTGTGCGTGCGTGTGCGTGCGTCTGCGTGCGTGTGCGTGCGTGTGCGTGCGTGTGCGTGTGCGTGCGTGCGCGTGTGCGTGTGTGCGTCTGGACGTGTGGTCCAGCGTGTCGCGCCTCCCGCACGTGGGCGCCCGCGGGCGCATCGTGCTCCGGGCGGGTCCGCCGAGGTTCCGCCCCCGTTGGCGCCCCGTGCCCGCCCCGTGGGCGCCTCGTCGGCGCCTCGTGGGCCCCCCGTGCCCGTGCCCTGGGCGGGTCCGCCGAGGTGTGGCCCCGTTGGCGCCCCGTGCCCTCTCGTGGGCGCCTCGTGGGAGCTCGTGGGAGTTCGTGGGCGCCTCGTGGGCGTTCGTGGGCGCCCCGTGCCCTGGGCGGGTCCGCCGAGGTTTGGCCCCGCTGGCGCCCCGTGCCCGCCCCGTGGGCGCCCCGTGGGCGCCCCGTGGGAGTTCGTGGGCGCCCCGCTCCCAGGGTTCGGCGGCGAGCGAGGGGGGGAAGCGGGAAGGAGAAGGCCTTCTCAGAAGGCGGCGGGGCTTCTCAGACGCCCTCGCGCCTCCTGAGAGTTTGTTTGTGCCTTCGGGGAAGGCCTAGACAATTGTTTACGCTTCGCGAGTCCCCAACAGCGCCCGACCCCTACGCCCGCAACAAGAGCTCAGCGGGCACAGCAACGGCCGGGGGGGAGCTAGTAGCGTTCGGCCGCAGCCCGACTCGCTCAGCCGCACAGTCCCCCAGGTCCTGGAGCTACTCCCCGACCTGGCGCCGCCAGAGGCTCCAAGGCTAAGCTGCAGGAGCGTCTCTGCAGTAGCCCTTGACGAGGCAGGCGACTCCAAACGCAGCCGACGCAACAAGTGGAAGGAGGCCCGTAACACCCTGGTCCTTTACCTACGGGACTATCACCCCACACTGGACTAGCACTGGATGGATTTCGTCAAGGCATTCGGCACAGACATCCCAGCCCCGAAAGACCAGGAGACCTCCTGGCCTGCGCTCCAGCTGGCCCCCTTCCTGGTCAAGGTGTACGGCGCGAACATCCCAGAAGGCGGCCGCCCGGAGGGTGCCCCCTGGGACGGCAAGAGATGGGCAGCAGCGAGGGTGGTAGGACACCTACTGTGCAGCCCACAACACAAGGAGGCGTGGACAGCTCACTACTCGAGCCTGGCCCACGACAAGGGGCCAAGCCCGTTCCGCCATGACCTTACCGTCCTTTCCAGCTTTCTTGCCAGCCTGAACCCAGGAGCCCTCGCAGCTGCCACCATTACCACCCTTGCGGGACAAGACCCCTCGACTGTGGGCATCGACGAACCACACTCGGCGTCCCCAAGGGAAGCAACGAGAACCTGGCTTCAGCCAAAAGTCGAGGGGGCAGCAACCGCAGCGGACGAGGGACCCTCGGCCACCGGTGCCCTATCCAGCGGCACGGCCCCTAACGAGGCCGAGCCTCGTGCCCCGCAGGCAGAGCACGCCCGTCAGGCGGCAGAGCAGGGGGCGACCGACAACCCCCGTGGCAAGGAAGCAGCCTGCTCTCCAACGAGCCCAGCGCCCACCGTGAAGGCCGACATCGCAGGGATCGACTACGACGAAGAGGGCGGAGTCGAAGAGGCCCAGTCATCAGCCTCGCCGCCGCCCTGCGATGCAGTGGAAGGCACCGCCGACCTGGAAAGCAACTCGTTCCCACCCTCGCTCGACACTGCAGGCGACGCAACCGGAGGCAGCCCCTCCGACGACCCCCTGAGGATCTTCGTCGCCGGCGCGGCCAACACAAGCAGATCCGAGCAGGACCGCGAAGAGGGCACGACCAGAGCCGGCGAGCCTCGCAGGCTGAGCCGCGACCCCCCGTGCAGGCAAGCAGCCCCACCCAGCGCACCCAGCAGCAGCAATGCGGCAGCAGCAGCCCCAGCGGGGTCCGAAGCGGACCCCCCGTGGAGGCACGGTAGGGCCGCGAGATCTCACGACTTCAGAAAGCACTCGGAGGAGTCTTCAGCACCATCTGGCACGCCTACACCCGAAAGTTCGCCGTGGGACCTACAGGCAAGGCCAAGAGCGACCCCGCGCGGAACGCCGAGGCAACCTGCCGCGGCTTCCTGGACGACTGGAAGCGCTGCGGGTTCGACGCCTACGAGATGGACCGTCGGATCAATCTTCAGATAGACTGGGACCAGGAGCGCACCAAGTGGACGGGGAGCCAAGGCAAAGGTGCCCCCCAGCCCAAGGGCCGAGCGACATGCTCCCAGCAGCCCTGGGACTGGGACACCTGGTCCTGGTCACACGCCTGGGACGACGACGACTGGCAAAGTGGGGGCAAACGAGGCGGCTACTACAGCGGCGATGGGAGAGGCGACAAGCGCTCCCGCACATGGCGGTGACCCGGACGTTTTCGACAGCCAGTGGCTGGCGGCCACTCCCTGGCAGCACGCACTGCCCCTCCCCTACTCTCGCGGCATCTCTTGCCTTGGCTCCCGCCGCCTGCCGGGGCCCCCCCCTCCCTCCCACATTGCGGGTCCGCCCGCCCAGGCTTCACACTAGACGCAGCCTGCCGCGCACGGACGCGCTGGCCGCTGTGGTTTCTTGCAGACCGTGCCGCCCGCAGCCACCCGCGGGTTTCCTTGTCTGCCGACCTTCACTGGATGCCTTCCGGTCCTCGCGGCTCGCGGGCGGCTCGCCTCCCCGGCACGGTGGACTGGCTCAGCAACCGACCGACGACTCGCGGGAGGACTTTCACTGCTGCGTGGGGCGTAACGGACTGCGCCCCCGCATTCGGTGGCGCTCCAGTTGGACTTGCAGACCAGTGGCCGTTAGCAACTCCCTGAAAGTGCTTTCTGCACAGCTCCTCTCCACCCACCAAACCACCCCAACCCAACCCGAAGGGTATGATTTACCCTCGATTTCTAGTGGGGGGGGGGTCCGGGAACATCGAAAAAACGCATATGGAGCCCATACCCCCCCCCAACCCGAAATTCGGGTCTTCGGGTTGGGTTGGGGTGGTCTGGTAGGTAGTCAGCTCCCGCTGTCCCCCGCCCTTGGGCTTCTGGCAGCGGCCAGCCGGCATCCCTGGCACGTGGGCTGCTGCCGGGGCCGTGGCCCACCTTCCCCTGCCTTGCGGGCCCGCCCGCCCTGTTTCACATCGTCGCAGCCGCCACGCCTGGATGCGTGGGTCTGTGGCTTCTTGCAGAAAGTGCGGCCGCTCCCTGGCTCCCTGGTTATCCGACCTGCAGTGGGTCATGGGGGCAACGCTCGGTTTCGTTCCCTCTGCAATCAGCAACCAGTGGCCGTTAGCCACCCCCTGGTAGCGCTTTCTGCCCAGCTCCCGCTGTCCCCCGTCCTTGGGGTACGGGCAGCGGCCAGCTGACAATACTGGCTCGTGGACTACCGCTGGGGCCGTGGTCCACCTGTCCCCCTCGGCTCCGGCCATGCTGTAGTTGTTTTCACCACGGCCGGTGCGCTCCCCACTCCGCGCCCCGTGGTATCCACCGCGCTGGGACGGCCTCCCCCCGCGGCTGGGCTAACTCCCTGGCCCCTCCCCGCCCCGGCGGCTGCGCGTCTCGACGACCCCGTCCGCCCCGCCCCTCCGCTTCCTTTTCCAGCGGCTCCTTCCCTGGGGCACCTGGGGCTCCCGAGTTCACGTGGTTCAGCCTGTGCGCCCTTGGCTGTCGGCCGCCCGTGTCGATCTTTTCCACGGTCCCTGGCGGCAGCGCCCACGGCATCCTCTTGCTACCCGATCCGGATTTGAGGTGTGGGCCTTGTTGTCTCAGCAGCCCTCAGCCGCCGGTTCCAGTTCGAGACTGCGCGTGGCTTCCTGGTCTGGTGGTGCGGGAGTTTACGGTGTCGAGTATCTCCACCGTGTCCCTGGCCCCTTGCCCGTCCCTGGGTAACCTCGCGGACAGACTCCTCAGGATCAGTGCTTCCCTCTTGGAACCGAGTGTGCGACTTTGGTGGCGCCACTCAGTGCACCTGTTCGGGCCGTTCGGCACGCTTTGCAGTCGTTGCAGATACTGACTCGCCGCTTCCCTGGCCCCACCCTGGTGTGCAACCCGCGCCATTTTGGCCGCGCCCCAACCCTGGTTGGCCAATTTGCGCCTTGCCCTGGCTCAGCCCCTGGCAGCCGCAGCTTGCGCCCCCGCCCGCTGGCCCCGCCCGCCGTGGTGACGCCTGAGGCCCCGCCGTTTTAGGTAATTTGTCTTTGCGCGGCCCGCTCTGACTCGACTCGCAGTGTGCGTTTTCGCTCACGGCGGCTGACAAAAATAATCCTCACCAGCCCATTCAGAAGCCCCGCCCATGAGAGCTGACCGGGGGAAGGACGAGACACATATTATAGTGAAATAGAGCGTGCAAGGAGCAGAGAGGAAGGAGGGTGTTGAGCAATCTTGGAGGCTATTTTGGAGCATCGTAGGCCTCCTTGGAGCTACGAGGCTGTATTGGGGCGTCTTGGTGTCCTCTTGGGGCTCTTTTGGGGCATCTTGGGGCCCTCTTGGGGCTCTTTGGGGGGTCTCGGGGTACTCTTGGGTTTTTTGGGGGCCTTGGGGCCCTCTTGGGGCGCTCTTGGGGCTCTCTTGGGGCTCTCCTGGGAGCTTCGGAGGGCCTCCAAGGGCCATCTTGGCGACCATCGATCAAAGTAGGGGGGGTCCTTAATTTGCCTCCCCCCTCCGGGGCCATCAACAAGTCTCTTGGGGCGCTCTTGGGGCCCTCTTGGGCGTTCTTGGGGCCGTCTTGGGGGCCTCTTGGGCCCTTCTTGGATCTTTCTTGGGCCTTCTTGGGATCATCTTGAAGCCCCAAAAGCGCATCGGTAGCGAAAAGGCGAGAAGGCCACAATCATTGGTTTTCCATGAGTTTTGAATGATTTTGGCTTCTCGGGGAGGCCCCGAGGGGTTTCCCAAACCATTTGGATTCGTCTTGTGGCCCTCTTGGGGCCTCTTTGGGACATGTTGCTAGCTATCTTGAGCCATGCTAGGCTATCTTGAGCGATCTTGGAGGCTATCTTGGGCTCTCTGAGGCCCTCTTGGAGCCATCTTAGGCGACAAATAACTTGCTGACACCTCGTGACCCCCCCTTCCAGGTCCAGGGGAGGGGGTATTGGGGGAGGTGTAAACTCCTCCCTGAAGGGGAAGAATGGGTTTTCAGGAGAGGAAAGGCAGATCTCGTCAGACACCTGCCGCCCAGAGGGCTGGTGGGACTTCTCAGAAGGCCAGGCGACTTCCGAGCCTTCTGAGAAGGCCCGCCCCTTCTCACTTCCCCACCCCGCGCTCGCCGCCCATGGAAGGAGGAGGATGAGGAGGAGGAGGAGAAGGAGGAGGAGGAGGAGGAGGAGGAGGAGGAGGAGGAGGAGGAGGAGGAGGATAAGGCGGAGGAGGAGGAGGAGGAGGAGGAGGAGGGATCTGAGGGATCTGATGAAACGCCTTGGTCTGCAAGGCCCGCTACCTAGGCAGACGCCTCTCGGGCCTACGCCGAGACGCTGTGCTGAGCCAATGCCCAGCGAGCAAACGAGGGGAATCCAGCGAGGCGACGAGGAAGCCAGAAACCCAGGGATGACCCAACGGCCCACAAAAGCATTCGAGGAGTATCCAGCGGCGGCGACGATGCCCCAGGCCAAGCCCCAATGGGCGCAAGCCACCTCCGAGCCCAGGATCAGACCTCGACCTTGAAGACGGCCTGCCCTGCTGCAACAGGTCTAGATACTCCTCCTGGTGTTGGCCATCCCTTCATGAAGACTACCCTCACGATGACGACCATTTCCACCAGCACGGCCTTGCCGAAGAGCCCTCGCTTCCCGGCCTTGGTCGCATACTTCTGGCGGGTCTTGATCATCTCCATGCAAACGACCTTGCCGAAGAGCCAACACTTCTCGGCATTGGTCGCGTTCTTGCACAGGAGAGGACACCAAGCCTTGATCATCACAACGCCCAGGATGACGAACGTCGCGCCACCAAGGTTGCAATGCTCGCGAGAGTGCTCAAGGCCGATCATCCCCACCTTCCTGGACGCCCGCCATGGCCCGCCGCGGCAACGCCGCTTCGAAGAGCGCCGCGGCACGCACGCGATGTGCCGAAACGGCTGGAGGAGGAGGAGGAGGAGGAGGAGGAGGAAGAGGAGGAGGAGGAGGAGGAGGAGGAGGCGGAGGAGGACATCACCCTGCATCGCTCACACAACATAGCTCACGCCAGGTCGCCTGCACAGCTTGACTTGCACCCCACCGCGTAGCTTACTCCGCGTAGCGTTCACCCTCACACGGCACCAACTCACTGGTTGGGGTCTATGTTGGCGAACAATTTGACAGTGCTGCTTTAGAATTCCAGGATTTTTTAGTTATAAGGATTTTAGGGGGGGTACCAAGAGGCCCCCCTCCCCCCCAGGGCCGTCAAGGGCCCGAACACTGCCCAAGAGGGCTCCCCCAAACATGTCAGGACATGCACAAGAGAGTCTGCGTGTTGCCAAAGAAGGTCCCAAGAGAGGAGAGACCCCCCGATAAGCCTAATTAGCATGTCCCCAAAAATGCTCAACGATGGGCCAGAGGGCCCGAGCAGGCCCCGACATATGCTCCAAATTGTTCGGCAGTGTTTGAACTTTCAAGAGCCAGCAGCAACAGCAGCACGAGCAACAGCAGTAATAGCATCAGCGACAGCTGCAAGCACGAGCATTAGCGACAGCGGCAGTGCGAGCAGCAGGCGTCTTGTTCGTAATGTCCCGCCGATTCCGCAAACTATACACTTCGCTAGAACCTCAGCGCGCACGAAGCGCACGCTTGGTTCTATGTTTCGTACGCACATCACTCACGTGCCTGACGCCTACCGTTGGTCCATGAGCAGATTACCCAAAACCCCTGTAGGCGCGGATCGGAAAGAGCATGTTGTGTGCTCTTGCTGGGCTCCCGACGGTCCGGGCGCCCAAGTCACGGGCGGGAATCTCTGACCTTTGCTCTGTTGGAAGCGCTCTGTGTTTCACTGCTTTCCCGGTGGGTCGGGGATCTGGGCTGGGGCCGCGATCTTGCACGATCTTGGTTTAGCGCCTTGGAGGAAAGATTGTGTTTGTTTTGCTGTCTTTCCGATGGGTCGGAAGGCCAGGCTGGACAGAGTGTGGGTCGGGTGCCCTACAGGGAACGCCGCTGGTGTGTTTTCACTAGGTCGGGTGGCTGATACCGGTTCTCGCCGTTCATGCCACAATTCGTTATTGTGTACACCAGTCGGATGTTGGGCTGTGTAAGTTCTTACAACGCCTATTTCTTTTCTCTACATTCCAGTCTCACCTTCCGTTTCTTCCTCTTTCGCCCTTTCCACTCGCCACCCTTGGCGACATCCAAGGCTTCTGCACTCGATCTTTCCCACGCACTTCTTGGACGAGGTCGTCATAAGAGTGAACATCGTGAGCATGAGACCCGTAGTAGGAAGACACCAGATCCCGACGTCGTGATTAGCGAGGGTGCGAAGAAGCTGGAGTACCAGGCCTGCTTCGTTTTTGCTTCATCAGCCCTTCTCAGCCGATTCTTCCCAGCGTGCTCCTTGCAGTTACTGTTTGCATTGTCGAGAGCGTCGATTATCCTCTCACTGTATGATCAACTATGCGATGCGATCGCCATCGTCGCCGTTTCTGCTGTTTGCTCGATTCGACATCTCTTCGATTGGTAAATGCTGCGTCTCAAGCTCTTGAGACGCACATTCCGTTCCAGCGGGCTTCCGTGGACACCTCGCCCGAGAGGCTTCAACCTACGATCGGGCACCCACGCAGACCGCTGCATCTCACTGCCTGGCTGGCCATCGCGATCGTTCGTCTGGCTCCGAACTCCCGACGGCGTGATTTCTTCACGGCGTGGGCTCATGGAGCTCTCGGCAGCCACCCCTGGGACTTGCTTGCCATCACGGGCTGTGTTCCGACGACCCCTCCTCCCAAGAGTGGCCCCTCAAAGGCATCTCTAACACAATCCGTATTCTCATGTGTCTGTAGACATTGCTTTGGTGTGTACGTAAATCCGTATGTACGCATATACATCTATGTGTATATATATATATATATACATGTATGTATGTATGTATGTATGTACGTATGTATGTATGTATGTATGTATGCATGTATGCATGCATGCATGCATGCATGCATGCATGCATGCATGCATGTATGTATGTATGCATGTATGTATGTATGTATGTATGTATGTATGTATGTATGTATGCATGCATGCATGCATGCATGCATGCATGCATGTATGTATGTATGTATGTATGTATGTATGCATGTATATACATATATATATATATATGTTATATAAGACTGCATTGGCGCTTCGCGCCATGCACTGTGGTCCTTGAGGCTTTGCACATATTGGTCGTTCGCACCATCCCTAGTGGCCTTGGAAATTTGGCACCTTCCCTGCGGTGGTTTTCAGATGTCTTCGAAAGTTCAGGCGGTCCCTGGCCCTTCCCGGGCCTCTGGGGGCTCCCGAAAGGCGCCGGGTGGAGGGCGAAGGATAGGAGGGAGGGAATCTCGGGGAGCGAGGAAAGGAAGCGGATGTGGGGGAGGACGAGTGGTGGAGCGGCAGCAAGAGGAGGAGGAGGAGGAGGAGGAGGATGAGGAGGAGGAGGAGGAGGAGGAGGGCGCCGTCGGGGGACGGCGAAGAATGTTGCAGCGGGTTGCAGCGGGTCGCAACCGGGCACGCGAACGCAAGTAATTCTTGGGGAATGCACCTGATCACTGGTTCGCAACAGATTTCGGGATTTGTGGTTACGAGCCCCAGATTCGGGTCAATTTGGTGGGAATGCCGTGTGGGCCTTGTTGCAGCCCTGGTGGGCCAGCCGGCTTGGGGCCGTCTCGAGCCGTCTTGGGGCCATCTTGGGCCGTGTTGTGGAAATGGGGCTCTCTGGGGACCTTACGGGGGCTACGTAGGCCCTCCTATTGGCCTCCCATGGCATTTTGGGGGGCATCCCATGGCCTTCTTGGGTTTCCCTTGGGGGCCTTGTGAAGGCCTGTTGGGCCTCTTTTTGGCTCATGTGGGGTTTCCTTGGGCAGTCTTGGGGCCGTCCAGGCCGTCTAGAGGCTCTCTTGGGGGTCTCTGGGGCCGTCTTGGGGCTATACTGGAGGCCTTCTTGGCTGTTTTGGACGCTGCTAAGACCCGAACGGCGAATGTGCTGAAAAGATACGTTTCCCGGCCCTGTTGAGGGCCTCCTGGGCCGTCTTAGGGGCCTCTGGCGGCCATCCGGGTCCTCTTGGAGCGGTCTTGTGCTGTCTTGGGTTTTTCTTCTGCCTCTCTGATCACCGCTCTGATCGCTTGGGGCCTGCTGGCAGGACCGGGCGAAGCGCCGGTAGGCCCTCTGGGTCCTTCTTGGAGCACTCCTGTGCTGTCTTGGGTCTCTTTTCGGCCTTTCTGATCACCGCTCTGATCGCTTCGGGGCCTTGTGAGGGCCTGTTGGGCCTCTTTTGGGCTCATTTGGGGCTTCCTTTGCAGTCTTTGGGCCATTCAGGCCGTCTAGAGGCTCTCTTGGGGGTCTCTGGGGCCGTCTTGGGGCTATACTGGAGGCCTTCATGGCTGTTTTGGACGCTGCTAAGACCCGAACGGCGAACGTGCTGAAAATGCGCGTTTCCCTAAGAGAATGATGCGATTTTTGCGTTCTGGGAGTCCTGTTGAGGGCCTCCTGGGCCGTCTTGGGGGCCTCTGGAGGCCATCCGGGTCCTCTTGGAGCGGTCTTGTGCTGTCTTGGGTTTTTCTTCTGCCTCTCTGATCACCGCTCTGATCGCTTGGGGCCTGCTGGCAGGACCGGGCGAAGCGCCGGGGACTTTTGGCAAGGATGTGGGGGGGGGGGGCCAGAAACCCGCGATCATGGGGGTCCAGTTTTGGGGGGGGGGGATTCCCCCCCCCCCTCCCCCCCTGGCTTGTAAAAATATAAGAAGAGAAATTCACATGAGTTGAAGCTGGCTGCGCTTCGCTTTAAAGTCTTGGTATAGTGCACTGTGTGCGAGGCGAGGGGGGTGGAGGGCAAACGGGCGTATTGGGCCGAAACGCAGCTATATTTGAGGCAAAGGGGGCTGCGAGAAACGGCAAAGCGCGTGGGGTGGTGGAAGAGGTGCCGTCGTCAGTCATCTTGAGGTGGTCTCAGGTCTTCTGGAACCGCTTTTGGGGGCGTTTCGGCTGTTTTGGGCCCTCAGCAACGGATGATGAGAGCGGCGATCGTGACATTGTGAAGGAGACATAGGACTACAGCGGTGATGTAGTAGTGGTGGTGCCGACGGGTACGGGGGAGGTGGAGGGTTCGGGAGCCAGTTGGGGGTGTGGGGTGGGGGGGGGAGGGCCGGGGCCTTCGGTTCGGAAGACCGGGGCCACCTGGGCCGGGTGGTGATAATGATGACGACGTCGTCGAAGAGGTTGTGGAAGAAAGGATTTTTTGGGGGGGAGGTATGATGGCGTACGGTGAGCGTCTGGGGTGGTTGGGAGCCTACTGGTTTGTTTGGGGAGCTGTAAGACTTTGGGGGGCTGCTGGGCGGTTTGTCTGGCGGTGGGACGTGCTCGGGAACGCAGAGGCTTTCGGGTGTCCTCTTGGGCAAGATGGAGGGTTCGAAAGACTGCAGTCCGTGTGGGGCATTTGTGGGCTTCGTGAAGGTTTGGGTGAGTTTTTGTTGCGTTGGGGGCGTGTTTGGGGCTGTGTGTGTTTCTCGGGTGGTCTTCAGGGAACGATGGAGTGCTCGGAGGCCTGCTGTCGGTGTGGGGCTGGGGGGTTTGGAAAACGACAGCGGGTGGGCTTCGAGAAGGGGAGTTTCCAGGGGTTGAACGACGACAATGAGGAAGGCACCGTCCAGAAGGTGTTTGGATTGACGCGGGGGGGCGGGGTCCGGCTGGCTCGGAGGGTCGAAGTGGCCCCTGGACTAATCCACGGGTGTTTTTCGGCTAGATTCGCGAAGGGGTGCAGCCATGGCTTGGGAAGCCCCATATAGGCCCACGAAAGCGCCGCGACGTCGTAAAATATCCCCGAGCTCCGATTCTTCATTTGTCATTGACGCGGGGCGAGAGTGAGGTGCACCTGGGTGTCGAAGGCCTTTTTGATCCCTCTCTTCCTTCCCTCCCCAAAAAGAGTGCCACATCGGAATGTCCGCGAAGGGCCGATGCCAGCAAGCTGCACAGAAACAGTCAAGCGCCGAGTCGGGGCGCCGAAAGCCTTTTTGATTCCCCTCCTCCTTCCTCCCCAAAGTGGACGCCACGTCGGAATGTCCGCGAAGGACCGATGCCAGCAAACTGCACAGAAACTTTTTTTCGTCAGCGGCGAGGCGGCGAACTCCGCTCCAGCGAGAAGTTAGAAAGAGGCACTAACTAGCGAACTGGCCAGCGGGCAAAGAGGGATGGGGGACGGCCGAGAGGAAAAAGGGACGATCAGACGTCGAAAAGTTCGACGGTGCACTGAGCCGTGTGGAGGCAGGAGCAACGCAGCCATATGGCTGGCAGTGACAGGGGTATTGCGGCGTGACCGCCCAAGGGCGCGCCAGGTGGCCAGGGGGCCGGGAGAGGTGGGGCAGGAGGCGGCGGGCGAAGCGTCCCAGGCGCCCGCAGGCGGCGGGGCGGAACCGCAACGCAAAGGGGGGAGGAAGCGCGGGGCTGCCGGAAGGAGGTGGCAACGCAGCCAGATGGCTGGCAGCGACAGGGGTACGGGGTATGGCGGCGTGGCCGCCCAAGGCCGCGCCAGTTGGCAAGGGGGCATAGAGGGGCGGGGCAGGTGGCGGCGGGCTAAGCGTCCAGGCGCCCGCAGGCGGCGGGGCGGAACAGCATCGCACCGGGAGGAGGCAGCGCGGGGCTGCCGCGGAAGGAGGGGGGCGCCGAAAGGTGCAGAAGCCGGGACGCAACGCAGGGCGGTCCAACGGGCGGTCCAGCGTGGTGCAGCAGAGAAGCGCCGAAATGGCGCAGGGGACAGCAAGTGAGCGACGCGCGTCCCAAACGGGAGGCGTGTCGCGAGGGAGCGGCGGCGGGGGGCGCCGAGAGGTTCGGAAGCCGGGTGGCGACGCTGGGCGGCCCAATGGGCGGTCCAGCGTGGCGCAGCAGAGAAGCGCCGAAACCGCATTCTATTGGGGGTGAGGGTGGGGCCCGTGCCTGTCGGTTTCTTGGTGTGAGATAACCCAGATATGAATAACAAGAAACATTCTTAGTGTTTATATATATATATATATAAACTTGTAAACCCGAGAACACTTGAGAACCTCCTGAGCCCGAGAGCGGCCCCGTCGGACACGTTTTTTGGAGGGCATCCGCGACCACCTGCGAGCCTCTCCCGGCGCCGGCAGGGTTTCGACGCTGGAGCCTCGGACGCACCTGCCAGGGCTCCGCCCTGCCTGCAGGCGTTCTTTGGGCTCCGAGCCTTGACAGTCCACGCGCCTAGCAACGACGCGCGACTTCACGTAGGGTGCCCTTGTGTCCTTGCCTCTGCGGCCCATCACTTGTCGCCCGCGGCCCAAAAAAATCCCAACTTCGGCCTCCAAGGGGCTTGCGTCCTTACCACCCGTCCTTAATACACGTTTTGACTGTAGGCCTCCTAGATGGGGTCGGAGTAGATGGGGTCGGAGGATCGCGCCGCATCGCCGATGCACCGGCGATACATCGGCGATGCGTCGGCGATGCGGCTCGATGTGGGGCCAACTTTTCTCTGGCGTCGCCGATACATCGCCGACGTCGCCAGTGGCCGATGCATCGCCGATACAGTTGCGATGCATCGCCGATGTATTGGCGATGCGGTGAGATCCTCCGACCCCACCAGCTCGGACCCCATCTAGGAGGCCCCTAAAGCCCCCGCGGGGGCTCCAGAACTCTATGGCGTGCAGAGGTCAGGCCCCCGACGCTCCGGCCACCTTCCAGGGGCTCGCTCCTCGCCCCGTGCCGCTCCTCGACGGCCCCAGGCCCAGCGAGGCCCCCGGGAGCCGGGAGCACGGCGAGAGCCCCGCCGCGAGGCCGAACGCGGTGTGAAGAAGCCAGCCGCCGCGGCGCCCAGAGGACCCAGGGGGTTGCGCGGACGTGGGCCAGCCGGGGCGGCCATGGGCGCGCGCGCGCGTCGCTCGCCCTCCGTGGCTCGCCCGAGAGCGGTCCGCAGAGGGCCAGGTGGAGCCCTTGCAGGGGACGTCCAGAGGCTTCTGGAGACAGACGGCGACCCTCCTTCCCTCCTCCTCCCCCTCTCCCGCTCCGCCTCCACCTCCCCCTCCTGCTGCTGTTACGCCTCCTCCTCCTCCTCCTCCTCCTCCTCCCTCCCTCCTGCTGTTACGCCTCCTCCTCCTCCTCCTCGCCTCCACCTTCTTC